CACAACCCTAAGAGCATGAAAATGATATTAATATAAATATCCAGAGATAAGACTAGAGGGTTGTATTTTCATAAACATGGGGCTACTTAGTGTGGACACTAGGGGGTTCCACTGACCGGACGTTGCTACAGATTAGTGACTAGAGAGGATTCAGGGGGTGTGCGAGCCCACCTAGGGACTCACATTCGCACGTGTGGGTCGTATGTAGGGAAAAGAGATAAGACTAGAGGGTTGTATTTTCATAAACATGGGGCTACTTAGTGTGGACAGCTACAGATTAGTGACTAGAGAGGGTCCAGGGGGTGTGCGAGCCCACCTGGGACTCACATTCGCACATGTGGGTCGTATGTAGGGAAGTATTAAACATCCATAATTGTCTGAGAGTGGTAGGGGTAATGATAATAGAGATAGGTGTGGGTCGTATGTAGGGAAGTATTAAACATCCATAATTGTTGAGACTGACAATAATAATAGAGATAGGTCCCAAGAGCATGATTGCATGTGTTTGCATTTATGTGGCCCATATAGTGGGGCCAATTACTAAGTATTCTTTGAAATACTCCGGCCGTACATCATTCCACATCATACCGCGGCATCACGAATAGAGACTATGACACGTGCATAGGGTAGGCTCATATTTAAATTTATAGTCTTAGATTAGACTAGATTGTTTTGCATTTCATTGTTTTTAATATACTTAAAAAAAAGAATTTGAATCGAATCCAGTATATACTTCGCCTTTCTTGTCGTACGCGTTCTTTTTAAAAGGTTAAATTCGCAATTATTGGAAGAATTCTTTACGGAGCAATTCTTTTTAAAAGGTTAAATTCGCAATTATTGGAAGAATTCTTTACGGAGCAATTCTTTTTAAAAGGTTAAATTCGCAATTATTGGAAGAATTCTTTACGGAGCAATTCTTTTTAAAAGGTTAAATTCGCAATTATTGGAAGAATTCTTTACGGAGCAATTCTTTTTAAAAGGTTAAATTCGCAATTATTGGAAGAATTCTTTACGGAGCAATTCTTTTTAAAAGGTTAAATTCGCAATTATTGGAAGAATTCTTTACGGAGCAATTCTTTTTAAAAGGTTAAATTCGCAATTATTGGAAGAATTCTTTACGGAGCAAGAACAGGTTCTTTCTTTGATCTTCCCAAGAGCTTCTTTTACTTTATAGGTATATAGGGGAAAATTTGGTATTTGGATATTATTTGCATCAACAATTTGGCCATTCATTCATGATTGGTTCTAACACCATGTAAATAGAAATTTTACTTAAATAAATGCTGAAGATATACCAAAAAAAAAAATAATTAATTTCTATTATGAAAGGTTCATTTGGTAAGAGTTGATCAATTGAATATTCCACTTTCTTAGTTAGAATCCTGCCTAGGGAAGTAACTACGTTTTTGATGTATACATAGGTAAAGCCGTGTGCAATGAAAAATGCAAGCACGGTTTGGGGAGGGATTATTTTGTATTTGTTTTTAATATCTCTAAATTTTAGTATTTCGACATTTATATGATGAAGTTTTCTTTTAAGAGTATTTAAAGAAGATGTTTTAAATATTTTTGACCTTTATACGATGAAATTTTCTTTTTAGTACTATGAGTATAGAAATTTAGGGTATAGTAAATTTTTAACTCATTTCTTTATTTTTTTTATTTTTTATTTAAGATAGAGTAAATTTTTAACTCATCTTTATTTTTTATTTTGTTTTATTTTTATTTATTTATTTTTTGTCTATATATTTACCTCATGTACAACATTAATAGATAGACACAAAATTTGGTTCTGAAGATGATAAGGAATGTGGATGCTTTGTTGCCATGACGGTGGGTTTGGTCGGGGCTCAACTCGAGGTTGAGTTTGAGAAGATCAATGTACAGTTGCCAATTTCCATGTATTACATTCATTTGGTTAACGATCTAAGGATGTTCGACTTCCAGTCGAAGGACAATGATTTGAACATTCTTCATTTGCCTATTTGGAGAGATGATTGTAATTTTGACTTAAAAGGTTAACTTTTGGAGAGCAACCAGCTTCCCATGCAAAGTGGATAGGCCATATGCATGTCTCTTTCAAATGCTTGTCTCTTTCAAATGCTTATTGCATGAGAAGGACCACACATAGCTTTGTGATAGATGTCAAGATCAAGATGTAAGAATTTATATTGGGGAAGCTAAAGATTATGAAATTTACTTGAGAAACCAAATGCAACTAATAATGATTAATTGGTTCATAAATGGATTAACCTTTATTATTAATTCATTTTATTCTTCACTTATACATGATCAAATGAAAATATACCAATATTTGAAGAATAAAGAGGATAAGTTGGGCAACATTTTAGAAAAATAAAGATATAATATTTTAATATAGCTAAAATAATGTGTTTTTCACTTGTTTTTAGTGAAATCCACACCATCAAATATTTGTAAATAAGCTAAAACCACATTTTTTTATACGGGTATGGAAATTTCATGCCAAAACAGACAATATACACTAGTGGTGGACTTCAGTTGTTACAAATGGTATCAGAGTCAGATGTGAAAATCTCTCCCTAGTAAACATTTGGTTCACATTCTAAAGCCGTGAAGATAGGTTCTAAAGCCGAGCCGTGAAGATAGGTTCTAAAGCCGAGCCGTGAAGATAGGTTCTAAAGCCGAGCCGTGAAGATAGGTTCTAAAGCCGAGCCATGAAGATAGGTTCTAAAGCCGAGCCATGAAGATAGGTTCTAAAGCCGAGCCATGAAGATAGGTTCTAAAGCCGAGCCATGAAGATAGGTTCTAAAGCCGAGCCATGAAGATAGGTTCTAAAGCCGAGCCGTGAAGATAGGTTCTAAAGCCGAGCCGTGAAGATAGGTTCTAAAGCCGAGCCGTGAAGATAGGTTCTAAAGCCGAGCCGTGAAGATAGGTTCTAAAGCCGAGCCGTGAAGATAGGTTCTAAAGCCGAGCCGTGAAGATAGGTTCTAAAGCCGAGCCGTGAAGATAGGTTCTAAAGCCGAGCCGTGAAGATAGGTTCTAAAGCCGAGCCGTGAAGATAGGTTCTAAAGCCGAGCCGTGAAGATAGGTTCTAAAGCCGAGCCGTGAAGATAGGTTCTAAAGCCGAGCCGTGAAGATAGGTTCTAAAGCCGAGCCGTGAAGATAGGTTCTAAAGCCGAGCCGTGAAGATAGGTTCTAAAGCCGAGCCGTGAAGATAGGTTCTAAAGCCGAGCCGTGAAGATAGGTTCTAAAGCCGAGCCGTGAAGATAGGTTCTAAAGCCGAGCCGTGAAGATAGGTTCTAAAGCCGAGCCGTGAAGATAGGTTCTAAAGCCGAGCCGTGAAGATAGGTTCTAAAGCCGAGCCGTGAAGATAGGTTCTAAAGCCGAGCCGTGAAGATAGGTTCTAAAGCCGAGCCGTGAAGATAGGTTCTAAAGCCGAGCCGTGAAGATAGGTTCTAAAGCCGAGCCGTGAAGATAGGTTCTAAAGCCGAGCCGTGAAGATAGGTTCTAAAGCCGAGCCGTGAAGATAGGTTCTAAAGCCGAGCCGTGAAGATAGGTTCTAAAGCCGAGCCGTGAAGATAGGTTCTAAAGCCGAGCCGTGAAGATAGGTTCTAAAGCCGAGCCATGAAGATAGGTTCTAAAGCCGAGCCATGAAGATAGGTTCTAAAGCCGAGCCATGAAGATAGGTTCTAAAGCCGAGCCATGAAGATAGGTTCTAAAGCCGTGAAGATAGTAAAGACATTTGACTAAAACAAATTGTGAGTCCAACTTACTTAAAATTCTATTTTATTCTTGCTTAAAACTCTCTCAAGCGAGCACAAACTACCATAAAATAAAACCCTCTCACACTCCACACTGTCTAGACAACTTCTTTGTGACCGCACAGATTATCTGGCGCACGACCGTTTTAAAACCCTCTCACACTCCACACTATCTAGACAACTTCTTCGTGACCGCACAGATTATCTGGCGCACGACCGTTTGAGGTAAATTAGTTGTGTAGTCCCTCGTTCCCTCTTAGGATGGGTTTACAAAGTCGCACCCCAGCCATTTCTTCACACGATAGTAACTTCTAGTAGCTTCAATGTGCTATCCTATCTGAAATTGATCGCTAGATAGTGTTAATGAGGTGCCAAAGGAAGTAGGAATTAATTTAACTCTTAACCATACCATACCATTCACATTGAATAGGAATTAATTTAACTCTTAACCATACCATACCAATCACATTGCTAGTAGACCGGTTAAGCTTCTTATTCATCCCAAGATGCTGTGGAAGTAATTAGGATTTTCGGACATCTAAGCAATTCAAGTTTTGGACTCTCATCTCCAAGACTATCTCGACTAGTTTCTTTGCCTATTATGGTTCTAGGAAGAATTACCATCTACACCTATAACTCTAGAATACTTGGTCTAAATGAAATGTACCAACCTATATCAATATAAAATCATCCAAATTCTAACGTACTACTCTTAACTCAATACAATTATGTATGCTTTATTAGGGAGAGAACCGAACAAATAACTCTTCAGAGATAACATTCATCCCATATATCACATTCTCAAAAAATGGAGGAGAAAGAAGGTTTATGAAACTCCATCTTACAAGCTTAAACTTGAATACAATTATTATTAAGAGCCCTCTTTGTTTTGCATTCCATTATTCAGTTCTCCACCTTGATGTGTAGCTTATCTGTGAAACAAATACAAATACAATAATCAATTAATTAATTAATTAATTATTAAGAGAAAATAAAAATGATCTAAAAAGGAAGAGAACATACCAGCGGCTTCTTTCTCACCACAATCTTCATCGCACTTAACTTCGCAGAAGCTTTGGCCATTGCCCTTTTCAAGGCATTCCTTCTCGCATTTTTCGTAGCATAACCTATACTTGGCTTCAAATTTAGCCTCATATTTGGCCTCCTTCGCGCTTTCAGTGGCACTCGAAACCTGCAATGCAGCCACCACAACAATGCACACCAACAACACTACAATCATCTTCTTCGCCATTTTATTTTATTTTATGCTTTTTCTTGTGCCTTTCCAATGCTTCTTTTTGCGAGTGGATGAATGTTTCAAAAGCCTAGCAACCCTTTTATAAGCTTCTACCAAACCTAAATTTAGATCAATACCCTTATTTTCGGCCATATATTTGGTTCCCTAATACAACAAAAAATTGTATGCCATTCATTTATAACAAATACTAATAATAACCAATCAAATTTCCTCTCAAATCTCCAAACTTATGTCACCAAATAAATACCAACTCCAAATCTTAGGTATTAGAAATGTAATTCACTCAAAAGTATATGAAAACATACAATGGGCACGGAGGGAGGACTGAATGTGAGATCCCACATTGGTTGGAGAGCAGAGCGAACCACCTTGTAAGGGTGTGGAAACCTCTCCTTAGTAAACCTATTTTAAAAATCTTGAGGGAAAACACCCTTGTAAGCAATCTCTAGTAAACCTATTTTAAAAACCTTGAGCTAAAACACCGTCATAAGCAAATTATGGTCGTAATATATGAAAGTTACTAACTCTTGGAATGTCTCATGTAAGGTTGAGACTATATAAAACCATGTACGTTATCTTGGTAAAGTAAGACTTGGAAAATGTAGTAAAAGGATTTTTTTTTTTTTTTTTTCGTTTGACCCATGATTAAGTTTCTTTGGAATTCTATATAATTTAGATTGAATGTTTAGAATCATTCAAGCTAGACATGATCGATCTTGCTTGTGGAGTGATTTGAATCTCAAACAACTGTTCTTACCTTGAGATATTCGATCAACAAGTTAATTCGAATCTTAATTCTCTTGTAGTAATTCCTCATAATCTGGACTATGTCAGCCAAGTAAGTGGCTCCACTATCAATTTGGTTGGAAGAATTGCTTTATGTATGATGACACGTGCCCAGTGGCCCTTGCACGTGTCATATGTTGATATGCTTTGATATGTTATGCTATTATATACTATGATATGCTATAATATGTTTTGAAATAAGGAAATCTATAATGCAGAACGTCTCTATGCCATATCATGAATGATATGTTATGTATAAAATAATGTATAAGAATTCTGCCAGCATAATTACCAAATTTAATATGTTATGAAAGAATGAAGGTTTGTCTTGTATCATTTATTATGCCATGATGAAAAGTATGGGGACTTCATGCATAACTGTGTTCACGTGAATCAGAATACTTCCCCATTATGATGAGTATGAACGCATATATTATAAGACTGATTATGACACTTATGTTTGTCATGATGATACAACGACCCTAGGTGTTCGGCAACAGCCCGCCAACGAGTGCTAGCCCAAGCGATGTGCGAGCCTACCTGGTGGGGCCACATTTGCACGTGTGGGCTGTGTTTAGAGAAGTATTACACATCTAATTTAGTTCAAAAATTGGAAAGCCGCCTAAGAGAATAAAAGAATGTTTTAAATGATAGTTCTAACCATGTTGCATGTGTTTGCATTTCACGACCCCAATATTGGGGTCATTTACTGAGTACTTCTTAAAATACTCTCATGGCTTTGCTTTGGGCTTCCCCAATTCTCAACAATGGATTTTATCGACATGGACATGGTTAAGTTTAGGGCATGACTCTGATACCATGTTAGAAATCACGACTCTTGAGTATTTCTTAAAATACTCTCATGGCTTTGCTTTGGGCTTCCCAAATCCTCAACAATGGATTTTATCGACATGGACATGGTTAAGTTTAGGGCATGGCTCTAATACCATGTTAGAAATCACGGCTCTCCACAATAGTATGATATTGTCCACTTTAGCTTAAGCTCTCATGGATTTGCTTTGGGCTTCCCCAAAAGGCCTCGTACCAATGGAGATAGTATTCCTCAATTATAAACCCATGATCTACCACTAAATTAACGGATGAGACTTACTCCCAATAATCCTCAACCATAACCAACGTGGAACCCACTCCCAATAATCCTCAACCATAACCAATGTGGGACTCACTCCCAATAATCCTCAACAAATAGAACTTTAAGGAACATTTGGGGAACGACCTGTTTTGGTGCAAATTTGAGAAATCAGATGCCTATGTCTCTTTTAATAGCTTTTAGTCCGAGTCAAGAAAAATAGATGGCTTCCTAAAAGATGCAGAAATGGATTAGAAAGAACTTATATTTGGACAGAGCACAAGGAACGTGTATTAAGAAAATACAAGATGAAATTTATTTATTTAACTACATGGAATTTACTTGTTTAAGTTTTAGAATTGATGAGTTTGAAGTTGAATAAAGAAAGTAGAGTTTTGTTGGATAATGAATTATTTATTTTTATTTTTTATTTATGATAATGTATTTGTTTATCTTGAAATTTTTAAATTAAGAAAAAGAAGTGAAACGTCTACTAAAATACAAAATTTTAAATTGTAATATTGATTTTAAATTAAAACTAGGAAATTAAATAATATGAATTTCCAACCTAAGTTTCTCCCGATAAGAACAATAAAATAGAAATAGGTAGATTTCGAACTCAAATCTAAAATAGAAAAAAAAAATTTATAACGGTAGGTTCAAATTAATATTTCATATATTAAACTAATATTTCATATATTAAACGTAAAGAAAATATATATTTAATTTTGTATGTTTAAATAATATAAACTGTACCCACATTAATATATTAAATGCTAAAATATTTTATTTTGAATTAAATAAACATTTAATCTCACTTTTTTTTTTTCTCTGACTTTTTCTTCTCCCATGTTTGAGAATCATCTTTTAAGAGGCTTGTTTGTCCTCAGTTAGATTCATATATTCTATAGTAAGAAAGATATTATATAGGAGATTATAAATGTTAATAGTTTTCTATATTTTCTGTATCTCCGATCTCGGCACACTCCCACAGTACCTGCAAAAGAGAAAACAAAGAGGAAGGAGGAATGAGAGAGAAGTTGTCGAAGTTTTCCGACGAGAGTCGCATATGATCATCATGTGAATTATTAATCTTCTCAATTAACGAATTTATAAAAAGAGATTAAATATTTTTTGATCCAGTCTTATACAAACTCATCCATATGTTATAAACTCTTTAGGTTATTTATATCAATAGTGTTACCAAGATAAGGCACCCAACCTTATCCATATATTATAAACTCTTTAGGTTATTACTTGAACACAATCCTCTTAAATGTCAACTACATATTATTCAAGATCACATTAATAACCTTAGATTTTAATATCATGGATGACAATTAAATTACAAATAAAATAATAAAAAATATTGTTAAAAACTAAATAATTAATTATGAGGTTGTAGGGCATAAATCCCAACAATCTTCCACTTGCACTAAAGCTGGTGAGACATGTGTCCTAGGGCATACTCTATACCCAACATGTTCTCCCACTTGCCCTAGAGGAGATGACCTGTCTCGTAATCCTAGACATTCTAGATGACCCTCAAACACTTTAGCCTAGAGAGCCATTTTATATAAATCAAAATAATTATCCTTAAAAGTCATCTTGGTCACTACCACGATGCTTTCTCTCAATATCATTCTTTATAGATTGATTTTTTATAACTTCGGGATGTTGAACTTTAAAATAATTATATAAATCAAAATAATTATCATTAAAACTTATCTTTGATGTTGAACACCACGTTTCTGGATAACGTCAACCGGATCAACCCTAATGCTTGTCAATTCTAAAGCTTCCACTTGTTCTATGGTCATGGTATCCGGCTTCACCCCAGTAGAGGTTTGTGAAGATCTTTCTAGTACAGATGATCTTCAATCTGCATCTTCCAGAAACTGAAATCGGATCCATCGAACTTCTCAATTCCAATCTTTAAGCTTTCCATCTTCACAGATCGTGGTGAATTTCGCCTAGCTCTGATACCTGTTGTTAGGATCGCAGAACAACGCACACACCCGATCTAGATGAACACAAAGAACAGAGAGAGAAAATGCAAGGAGAACTCTGGCTAAAAGATTTGTATTGATGACTACAAGTATGTACGAGAGAATACAAAGAATACGGAAAAGTACATTTTCAAAGCTCATTTATATATATATATATGGTTCAGCTTATTATATATAACTTTACACCAGATATAACTATTTGTATAACTATCTACCTATATAACCATCTATTATATATAACTATCTACCATATATAGCTTTACCGGATATAACTTTTTATTATACATAGCTATTTACTATGATAATTTACTATGTCATTAGCTTTACTATGTATAACTGTTGACTAAATTGTAAATAAGTAACAAGCTTCATAACCTAACAGGTCCAGCCTAGCTTTTTACTGTACATAGTTATTTACTATTTATGACAATTTACTATCTCATTAGCTTTATTGTATATAACCGTTGACTAAATTGTAAATAAGTAACAGGCTCCATAACCTAATAGGTCCAGCCTGCCAAATCGAGTCCTAAACTCATCTCGGCCCAAAAGCCAGCGGTTGGGTTTTATGTCCTACAACTCATAGTTTGTAAACAAAAACATATTCTGTTTTTAATAAAGTTATTATTGATGTTTATTCAGTAAAGATTGTTATTGAATAAAGTGAATTTTACGATCATTAATCTAAATCCAATAAACTAAGAACACTCTGGCTATAATATGATTACTTGAACTATATGTAGAGACATAAGAGTGGATCAAGTTCAAGTATATAGTCAAAATAATCTATAGTACGTGGATAAGGCTGAGTATCTTATGTTGGGAACACTATGGATGCGGCCCACTTTTGAATATGATATAAACAATGTGATCACTTGTACATGTGGAGACATGTGAGTGGGGGCGTCCTATGCAATGAGTATGGCATAAGATCGGACCATGAAGAAAACCACTCTCACTTTATAATGTCGTTTACTGTTGAGACTAATTTTTTCATTCTATAACCTAGGTAACTCAATCTTAATCCTAAGCTAACTATGAACTCCTATTTATTCAAAATTATCCTTAGATTTACATGGGTGAGAGTGGCCTGAGTTCGCCGACTCAATAAGCCTCCCATTTCAGAGGTAAGACTGGGTGAATAGTTG